GTATATTTTTCTGGCTTTTGTTACCAGGGTCGTACTAGCCTCTTAAAATGAGTTGGGAAGTATTCTCTGTTTCTTAAAGAGTTTATAGGAGTATTGATCTTATTTATTCTTTAAATATTTGATACATGTCACCAGTGAAGCCATCTGGGTCTGGTGTTTTCTTTCAGGAAAATTTTTAATTATTAATTAGATTGCTTACTTGTTATATAGATCTATTCAGAATTTCTATTTTTTCCTTTGACTTTGTTTTGTATATTTTGTGTGTTTCTATGAAATGAGCCATTTTGTCTGAGTTGTCTAACTGGCATAAAAGTTGTTTGTAATCTAATCCTTTTAAATTTTGTGGGATCCCATCAGTTTTGTGTGGGAGTTCCATATGTGGTGTCTCTCCATGATACATTTGATTAAATTTGTGCCTGATCATTCTTTTTTCTTGGTCAGTCTACTTAGAAATTTAGTTTGTTAGTCTTTACAAAGAACTAATTTTTAGTTTTCATTGATTTTTGTCCATTGTTTTTTGTGTTTCATATTGTCATTGATTATTTCTTTTTTTCTGCTTTTTTCATTTAATTTGGTTTCTCCTCTTTTTTCTAGTTTTTAAGGTAGAAAACTTCCATTATTAGTTGGAGACCTTATTTTCTATATAGATGTTTAAAGCTAAAAATTTTTTACATATCCATTTTCTAATTGCCTTCATGTTTTTTGTTGTTGTTTATGCATGTTCTTAGTTATGCGTTTCTACTCTTTATCCTTTCCATTTTTCTTGTGTTTAGTTTACCAGTTTAGGGTAGAAGCATATATAATTGAGACCTTTCTTTTCTAATAAAAGCTCTTAATGCTGTAAATTTTCTAAGCACTGTCTTGATTGCATCCCACACATTTTGCTATGCTGTGTTTTCAGTACTAGAGATTTTAAAGTTTTTCTTATGATGCCTTATTTAATCCATAGCTTACTAAATGTCAAATTCCAAACATTTGGGTTTTTCTACAGATATGTTTGTTACTGACTTCTGTTTAAATCTCATTTTTGTCAGAGAGCATTCATTGTATGATGTAATCCTAAGTGTATTCAGTCTTGTTTTATGTTCTAGATTAATGTTCTGTGTATACTTGAAAAGAATGCAGTTCTTGGGTAGACTGTTTCAGAAATGTCAAATTATTGATTCTGAAACAAAGGTTTTTATAATTGTAGATTGTCTGCCATATCCCCTTGGAGGCAAACTCTCCCCCTCCCTTTTGAGAATCACTGATCCATTGTCGCCTTTTTGCTGGGACTAATTTAGCCTTGCTTCTGAGATGTGGCCCCTAGGTCTCTGCTGAATTCCCTGCATATTTAATTAGATCTTTCTTTCCTCTATGGCCTCAAGGGATTTCACCCTAAGTATGCACGAATTTTTACTTTGTGTACCTCCTTAGTTTCCAGTAGTCTAATCCATAAATTAAAGCTGCTTTAGCCTCCCCAAACTTCAATCTCTTTCTCCTCAATCCAGCAAGATTGCTAGACTCTGGGTTCCCTTTCCCTGCTCTGCAGTATGATGATTACTTTCAAGCAAAAAGGCTTAGAATTAAGATTTCTTGCTCCTAGGCTAGGTATGGCTTACCATCTTTGTTTCTCTTTTCCTAGAGATCATGATCATGTATTGCTTGTTTTCTAGTTTTCCAGTAGGAGGGGAATTCCAGGCTGTACTTACTTCCTGCAGCCAAAAGAGGATGTCATGTTAGTGATTTCAATACTAAAACATTAAACAAAAAAATTTGAGATGGATGAAATTATTTTATATGCATATTGAATTGGGCTTCACCATAGTTATTTTTAGAATTAGGACTAACCAGCAGGGGAAAAAACTATAAGCAATCACTGTTTTACAATTTTGCAATAATTAGATTTTCTATAGTATAGTAATGTGTAAAATTAACCCATTGTTAACATAGAATGCCCTTATCACTCCTGATTATCACTCCTGATTAAGCGGTCTTCATTTCATGTTAATACTGGTATCTTAGAAGTGTCAAGTAATGCTTTACGGAATCAAACATTTTCATACATAGTCATTAGTCTAATTCTAATCATCCAGTGAAAAAGAGCAGGAAAGATGCTCAAGGAGGTTATATTGAAGTCCACATGGCAAGTAAGAAATAAGTCACCACGCCCAGCCAAGAGGTCTTAACACCTGAAATCCCAGCACTTTGGGAGGCCGAGACAGGTGGAATTGCTTGAACCTGGGAGGTGGGAGGTGGAAGTTACAGTGAGCCGAGATCACACCACTGCACTCCAGCCTAGGCCACACAGCGAGACTCTGTCTTGGGCAAAACAAAAAAAAAAAACAAATTAAGACTTCTCAAAGCTCCTAAATCCATAGCTTTTCCTTTATACCAGCATCTTCTAAAAATGTCAGCAGCAGTGAAGTTTCCGTTTGGGAAATAATGCATTCCCTCTCTCTGGAGAGTGCATGGGAGTATCTCCAAGAAGTACTGAAATTCAGAAGTCTGCCTAATATGTATTAAACATTAAGCTTTTCTCAAACTTTGACCACCAAATCCTTTTTCTCCCTCTAACCATAGTTAACACAGAATCAGTGTTCCCAAGAGCACACTGTGAAAAATGTAGCACTCTACAAAAGTCCTAATCTCCACAGGATTCAGTGAAACCATGATTAACCCTCTGTTCCTTGTCCTTATTAGTACCATTTTTTGAAGAGTAATGTAATGTACTCCCCCAAATTTTTTTTTTTTGAGACGGAGTCTCGCTGTGTCGCCCAGGCTGGAGTGCAGTGGCCGGATCTCAGTTCACTGCAAGCTCCGCCTCCCGGGTTCACGCCATTCTCCTGCCTCAGCCTCCCGAGTAGCTGGGACTACAGGCACCCGCCACCTCGCCCGGCTAGTTTTTTTTTTTTTTTAGTAGAGATGGGGTTTCACCGTGTTAGCCAGGATGGTCTCGATCTCCTGACCTCGTGATCCACCCGTCTCGGCCTCCCAAAGTGCTGGGATTACAGGCTTGAGCCACTTCGCCCGGCCCCAAAATTTTTATTACCAGTTTCACTAACCAGAATCCATGTACCTAAGGAAGGACAGATATCTGCTCCCTATTAAGACATACCTATTAGCTACATTAAAAAAAAAAAAGTATTGCATGGCGATTTTAAAGTTATAATTAACTGGTGATATCACAGATATTCTAAGATGTAATTGCTGGAATAAACACTGTTGTTGAAGCCTTCTATTTATCTCAATACCAGAATTAAACTGAAGTGCAGAATGGCAGACAACTTAAAGTTAACTAAAAATCACTGTATTATTTCATCTGGTCTTCCAAATAGCTTTGTGAGCTAGGGAGGAAGGTATCATCATCAGTTCCATTTTATAGATGAGAAATCAAGTGATTTACTCAAGGTTAAGTCCTCTAATTCTTTGTTATCCTGCATTTTCTCTTGGCTGTAGTTTAATAATCCTGAGAAAATGCTTATATTTTAGGGGGCATTAAGAGTACACAGACAGTGTTAAGTGCCCGTCTTGCATGTATGAAAAGTTACAGCAAGAAATTTGGCTGTAAACGGTGGCTCACACCTATAATCCTAGCACTTTGGGAGGCTTAGGCAGGAGGACTGCTTGAGCCCAGGAGTTTAAGACCAGCCTGAGCAACATAGGGAGATCCTGTCTCTACAAAAAAATTTAGCCAGACCCAGTGGCTTGTGCCTACAGTCCTAGCTACTCAGGAGGCTGAGGTGGGAGGATCACTTGAGCAAATGAGGTCAAGGCTCCAGTGAGCTATGATTATGCCACTGCACTCCAGCCTGGGTGACACAGTGAGACCCTATCTAAAAGAAAAGAAAAAGAAAATCCTTTAATTGACTTCATCTTAACCTTTTAGTTCCTAAGGACGGTCTGAAGAGCCAAGAGCTATTTGATGAAATTAGAATGACCTACATCAAAGAGCTAGGAAAAGCCATTGTCAAGAGGGAAGGAAACTCCAGCCAGAACTGGCAGCGGTTTTATCAACTGACAAAACTCTTGGATTCTATGCATGAAGTAAGTGTCGAACATAAAACCAAATATAAGAATTTTCTGGGACAAAGTGTATTTTGATTAGTGCATATAATTATATACCAACAGCACCCCCACCCCATCCCCAGTTTGTGGATGTTGGTGATAGCTTCAGTTCAACTTATGAACTTCAGTTTTGTAGACATTTTTCCTAAGACCAATTATGAAATATCCTTTCATCTCATAAAATCACGATGTTATTATAGAATTGAATAACACTTTTTAAAAAGTATGATTAATCCATTAAATTAGAATAATGTACCCTTTATATAGGTACCACAGCGGTTCATGAAATAATTCCATATAATTCTACATACAATCAAAGAAACTTGTACGGAAGTGCTTATTTTTCACCTGGGGAATTTCAGTGACATTGGTATATTCTAGCCCACATAATTTTTTCAAAATAGAGGACAACAAACATGAGCTGTTCCCACTGACCAATTTTGAAGCCTAATCATTACTATATTTTCTCTTGCAGGTGGTTGAAAATCTTCTTAACTATTGCTTCCAAACATTTTTGGATAAGACCATGAGTATTGAATTCCCAGAGATGTTAGCTGAAATCATCACCAATCAGATACCAAAATATTCAAATGGAAATATCAAAAAACTTCTGTTTCATCAAAAGTGACTGCCTTAATAAGAATGGTTGCCTTAAAGAAAGTCGAATTAATAGCTTTTATTGTATAAACTATCAGTTTGTCCTGTAGAGGTTTTGTTGTTTTATTTTTTATTGTTTTCGTCTGTTGTTTTGTTTTAAATACGCACTACATGTGGTTTATAGAGGGCCAAGACTTGGCAACAGAAGCAACTGAGTCATCACTTTTCAGTGATGGGAGAGTAGACGGTGAAATTTCATTAGTTAGTATATCCCAGAAATTAGAAACCTTAATATGTGGACGTAATCTCCATAGTCAAAGAAGGATGGCACCTAAACCACCAGTGCCCAAAGTCTGTGTGATGAACTTTCTGCTCATACTTTTTCACAGTTGGCTGGATGAAATTTTCTGGACTTTCTGTTGGTGTATCCCCCCCTGTATAGTTAAGATAGCATTTTTGATTTATGCATGGAAACCTGAAAAAAAGTTTACAAGTGTATATCAGAAAAGGGAAGTTGTGCCTTTTATAGCTATTACTGTCTGGTTTTAACAATTTCCTTTATATTTAGTGAACTACGCTTGCTCATTTTTTCTTACATAATTTTTTATTCAAGTTATTGTACAGCTGTTTAAGATGGGCAGCTAGTTCGTAGCTTTCCCAAATAAACTCTAAACATTAATCTTCTGTGTGAAAATGGGTTGGTGCTTCTAACCTGATGGCACTTAGCTATCAGAAGACCACAAAATTGACTCAAATCTCCAGTATTCTTGTCAAAAAAAAGCTCACATTTTGTATATATCTGCTTCAGTGGAGAATTATATAGGTTGTGCAAATTCACCGTCCTAACTGGTATAGAGCACCTAGTCCAGGGACCTGCTGGGTAAACTGTGGATGATGGTTGCAAAAGACTGATTTAAAAATCACTACCAAGAGGCCCTGTCTGTACCTAATGCCCTATTTTTGCAAAGGCTATATGGCAAGAAAGCTGGTAAACTATTTGTCTTTCAGGACCTTTTGAAGTAGTTTGTATAACTTCTTAAAAGTTGTGATTCCAGATAACCAGCTGTAACACAGCTGAGAGAATTTTAATCAGAGCAAGTAATTCCTCTCACTAAACTTTACCCAAAAACTAAATCTCTAATATGGCAAAAATGGCTAGACACCCATTTTCACATTCCCATCTGTCACCAATTGGTTAATCTTTCCTGATGGTACAGGAAAGCTCAGCTACTGATTTTTGTGATTTAGAACTGTATGTCAGACATCCATGTTTGTAAAACTACACATCCCTAATGTGTGCCATAGAGTTTAACACAAGTCCTGTGAATTTCTTCACTGTTGAAAATTATTTTAAACAAAATAGAAGCTGTAGTAGCCCTTTCTGTGTGCACCTTACCAACTTTCTGTAAACTCAAAACTTAACATATTTACTAAGCCACAAGAAATTTGATTTCTATTCAAGGTGGCCAAATTATTTGTGTAATAGAAAACTGAAAATCTAATATTAAAAATATGGAACTTCTAATATATTTTTATATTTAGTTATAGTTTCAGATATATATCATATTGGTATTCACTAATCTGGGAAGGGAAGGGCTACTGCAGCTTTACATGCAATTTATTAAAATGATTGTAAAATAGCTTGTATAGTGTAAAATAAGAATGATTTTTAGATGAGATTGTTTTATCATGACATGTTATATATTTTTTGTAGGGGTCAAAGAAATGCTGATGGATAACCTATATGATTTATAGTTTGTACATGCATTCATACAGGCAGCGTTGGTCTCAGAAACCAAACAATTTGCTCTAGGGGAAGAGGGAGATGGAGACTGGTCCTGTGTGCAGTGAAGGTTGCTGAGGCTCTGACCCAATGAGATTACAGAGGAAGTTACCCTCTGCCTCCCATTCTGACCACCCTTCTCATTCCAACAGTGAGTCTGTCAGTGCAGGTTTAGTTTACTCAATCTCCCCTTGCACTAAAGTATGTAAACAGGAGACAGGAAAGTGGTGCTTACATACTTAAAGGCACCATCTAATAGTGGGTTACTTTCACATACAGGCCTCCCCCAGCAGTTGAATGACAACAGAAGTTTGGCAATAGTTTGCATAGAGGTACCAGCAATATGTAAATAGTGCAGAATCTCATAGGTTGCCAATAATACACTAATTCCTTTCTATCCTACAACAAGAGTTTATTTCCAAATAAAATGAGGACATGTTTTTGTTTTCTTTGAATGCTTTTTGAATGTTATTTGTTATTTTCAGTATTTTGGAGAAATTATTTAATAAAAAACAATCATTTGCTTTTTGAATGCTCTCTAAAAGGGAATGTAATATTTTAAGATGGTTTGTAACCCAGCTGGATAAATTTTTGGTGCCTAAGAAAACTGCTTGAATATTTTTATCAATGACAGTGTTAAGTTTCAAAAAGAGCTTCTACAATGTAGATCATCATTCATTTATAGAACGTTATGTGGTTAAAACCAGAAAGCACATCTCACACATTAATCTGATTTTCGTCCCAACAATCATGGCGCTCAAAAAATAGAACTCAATGAAAAAAAGATTATGTGTACTTTGCTGTCAATAATAAGTCAACTGATATTCATCAACAACTATAGGAGGCTTTTCATTAAATGGGAAAAGAAGCTGTGCCCTTTTAGAATACATGGGGGAAAAGAAAGTCATCTTAATTATGTTTAACTAGGGACTTAAGTGCTATAGGGTGGTGCTGTTTGAAAGCAGCTTTATTTCCTATGTATATGTTATCTGGTTATCCCAACCCAAACTATTGAAGTTTGTAGTAACTTCAGTGAGAGTTGGTTACTCACAACAAATCCTGAAAAGTATTTTTAATTACTGGTGTAAAAAAGTGACCTCCTCAGTGTTTGTAGGCATTCTGTGGGATACTATACAGGCAGAACTGAGGCACTTGGAACACTTTTGGGGTTTATATACCCAAATGCCTAAAACTGGGAGGAAACCCTGGCCATCCCATAAGGAAAACTAGCATGATTTGTGTCTATGAAGTGCTGGATAATTAGCATGGGATGAGCTCTGGGCATGCCCACGAAGGAAAGCCACGCTCCCTTGAGAATTCAGAGGCTAGGGAGCAATTCCAGTTTCACCTAAGTCTCATAATTTCAGTTCCCTTTTAAAAACCCTAAAAACTACACCACCATGGAATGAAAAATATTGTTATACAACACATTGATCTGTCAAACTTCCAGAACCATGGCAGCCTTCAGTGAGATTTCGATCTTGGCTGGTCACTCCCTGACTGTAGCTGTAGGTGAATGTGTTTTTTTATGTGCCTGGTTTTAGTGTCAGAAGGGAAATAAAAGTGTAAGGAGGACACTTTAAGCCCTTTGGGTGGAGTTTCATAATATCCCAGACTATTTTCAAGCAACCTGGTCCACCCAGGATTAGTGACCAGGTTTTCAGGAAAGGATTTGCTTCTCTCTAGAAAATGTCTGAAAGGATTCTATTTTCTGATGAAAGGCTGTATGAAAATACCCTCCTCAAATAACTTGCTTAACTACATATAGATTCAAGTGTGTCAATATTCTATTTTGTATATTAAATGCTATATAATGGGGACAAATCTATATTATACTGTGTATGGCATTATTAAGAAGCTTTTTCATTATTTTTTATCACAGTAATTTTAAAATGTGTAAAAATTAAAACCAGTGACTCCTGTTTAAAAATAAAAGTTGTAGTTTTTTATTCATGCTGAATAATAATCTGTAGTTAAAAAAAAAAAATGTCTTTTTACCTACGCAGTGAAATGTCAGACTGTAAAACCTTGTGTGGAAATGTTTAACTTTTATTTTTTCATTTAAAATTTGCTGTTCTGGTATTACCAAACCACACATTTGTACCGAATTGGCAGTAAATGTTAGTTAGCCATTTACAGCAATGCCAAATATGGAGAAACATCATAATAAAAAAAAAAAACTGCTTTTTCATTATGTGACTCCAACATGTTTTTGTAGAACTTGTACAGTTCCGATTGTCCAATCTGATTTTTGTTCTACTAAAAGTAGAGCTACCCCCGCTTCAGGAACCCTAAGATAATATGGTGGGCATTTAAATGTCGGTGTGGCAATGTTCACATGCTAATATGGCATAAATTCAAAATAAGCTTAGCCCTGGTGCCAAAGACCTGAAGATTATCCCATCCATGCCTCAAATGGTTGTGTGCCAATTACTGCAAAGGGTACTAAGGGAAGGAGAAACTCCTGAGGCTGCCTCAAATGTATGTCTTTATCACAAAAGATGATATTTTATTTAAGCAAACATTATCTAGTCAAAATTCTTAGCTTATTTTAAAATCAACTCTTCAAGAAAAAGGAATAAACATTTAATATAAATATCATAGCAATATTGCACATAGAATAGAAAGGTGGGGCAGGGTAGTGGCAAGTCAGCTATTCTATACAATTCATTCAGTATTTTCCAAAACATTTGATATTGAGGCCATATCCAGGAACTGGATGACCTAACAAACTTCTTGGAGTACTTTTTTTTTTCACAAGAGATCTCCATCACTAAGAAAAAAGAATTGTGATTTAAAAGCCAAATTTGCCTTATCCATCATTATGTGCACCAAGTATTTGCTACCTGCCTACTATATAATATTGAAGATACAACATGAATAAGAAAAATACTATTGCTACCCTCAGTCACTTAGAGTATGTGATTGGAAAAGTGTGTAACACACCTTTCCCAGTGTCTTCAGGTATAATGCAGAGATACCAGATACGGCATCAATATGTATACACATTATGGCTCTACCATTCACTTTTAGTAGTAATCTTACATTTCTGTAGAACACCTTCACACACATTTTTAACAAGCCTCACCGAATGAATAAATGACATGAAAATAACGAGGCAGATTATTCTCGTTTCCATTTTATAAGTAAACTCTATAAGAAAGTAAACAGGCTCAGAATTTAAGGAACTGATTCATAGCCCCTAGCTCCCATGTTATTGAAGTTTGAATGGAAAGCCTTTAATGAGGCCATTCATCTATCAGATGTCAAAGAGCATGTCTCTGGCCTATGAGCCTCTCAGGGAACTGGTTATGTTTTTCTGTTTTAAATTAATGCTTTACTGAGCACTTACTATGTGCCAGGCACAATGATCATTCAACATATCTCATTTTATCTTAGTACCCCTCTAAAGTACTACTGTAAAGCAGTGATATTATATCCTCATTATATTTATATCAGGAAACTGGCTTAAAGAATTGAGTAACTTGCCTAGAGTCACAAAGCTCCAGAATCCATAGTTTTAACCACTTGAGAAATTATTAATATGAGCTAACTAGGGCGAGTGAGCCCAAGTTGATCATTATGTGTCTCGTCTTCTGACATGTCCTCGTTTAATCCCTTTTGCTACCATATCAATTTTGACTTAGAAATTTAACAATGATACATTAGTCCCTGCTTATCTATGGAGGATATGTTCCAAGACTCCCAATGGATGCCTGAAACAGATAGTACTGAACTGTATATTTTTTCCTATATTACATACCTATGATAAAGTTAATTTACAAACTAGATGCAGCAAGAGATTAACAATAACTCAATTACAACAATATACTGTAATAAAAGCTATGTGAATGTGATCTCTCAAAAAATCATACTACACTGAGGGTAAATGAAACCACAGAAAGTGAAACTGCAGATAAGGGGGGGACTATTGTATTTCCTTCTCTTAAAAACATGTGTCTTGTACCCTAGGGTGGTTGATGGTGGACAAGAGTAGTTGCCCACAGATTACAGAATGCCCTCTGGTTTGTCTAATACACAACAGGGAGTCTGTCTCACTAATGCCCACAGGAAAATCAAACGTTTCTTCAAGTGATAAAGAGCATATAGGGTACAGTCAAACCAAGGAAGAAAGCTGTTTATAAATGAAAACTATAGTGCAAGTTAAAATTTGCTCCTAGTTTTGCAGGTAAAGAGCCAGACTTTGGGTGTAGAAAAAAAGTTGAAGACTTTTACACAAGGTGATTTTCTTTTTTTTTTTTTTTTTTTTTTAGAATTTCAACTAATCTCTTTTAACTGAAAGTAAATCATTCTTAACAGTATTGGTAACTTTATAGCACTTTCTTTCTGGTGAAATAACCCTGCCCTCCCTCTATTTAGGCTTCCTGTTTCCTAGTTAAAATGAGGCAGTACTTTGTTAGGGAAATATTTTTACTTCACTTAGTTACAAACATGTTAAGTCTCAGAACAAAAGAGTTTGTGCAGACCATATCAGACACTCAAAAAACTTTCTTCACTCTACTCACTTAAGAGACAATTTATATTCTGTTCACCTTATGTACCCTCACCAAAAATATTCAATAGGGCTATAATGTGTATATAATGTAAATAAGGCATACGTTTGTCTATTTTTGTTAAAAAGTTGCATTGTTTTAAAAGTACTATGAGTATATACATGGGGTTTTGCTAGAAATAAAAATCTAGGTCATCCAAAACCACTATAATTGTTCGCTAGGATTGCAAAGAATCAAGATAAAAATGAAACTCTTTCAATATGGCAAGGGGGACAGTGTGCATAAAAACAAGCAAAGGCTCCCAAAACATGAGAATATGTCACAATTACTTCCTGATCAGTTTCAAGACCTACTATGTGGCAAGCATGCTAGATGAAACAATTCAAAGACCACTAAGGCAATACTAAGACTCCAAGGAGAGGTTCCTGCCCTCAAGGAATTAAAGATGAAAGGCAAATGACTATGCAGTTCTACCCCTATGTATCTACTCTAGAAGAGATGAAAACATGTGTCCACACAATGACTTGCATGCAAATGTTCATAGCAACATTATTCTTAACAGCCAAAAAGTGGAAACAATTCAAATATCCATCAACCAATGTACAGATAAACAAAATGAGGCATACAGTGGAGAACTACCCAGTCATTAGAAGTGAGATACTGCTGGCTGGGCACGCTGGTTAATATCTGTAATCCCAGCACTTCAGAAGGTCAAGGCAAGTGGATCACTTGAGGTCAGAAGTTCGATACCAGCCTGGCCAACATGGTGAAACCCTGTCTCTACGAAAAATACAAAAAATTGTCTGGGCACAGTGGCTCACGCCTGTAATCCCAGCACTTTGGGAGGCCAAGGTGGACGGATCACCTGAGGTTGGGAGTTCGAGACCAGCCTCACCAACATGGAGAAACCCTGTCTCTACTAAAAATACAAAATTAGTCGGGCGTGGTGGCACATGCCTGTAATCCCAGCTACTCGGGAGGCTGAAGCAGGAGAATTGCTTGAACCCGGGAGGCGGAGGCTGTGGTGAGCCGAAACAGCATCACTGCACTCCAGCCAGGGCAAAAAGACCAAAACATTGTCTCTGCGTTGCATGTATATAGGTAGTGATATATATGGGTTCTATTATTATAAAAGCTGGGCTGTGGTTAGGCACGGCCTGTAGTCCAGCTACTGGAAGGTCTTGAGTGGACGAATTGCTTGGAACCCGGGAGGTGGCAGTTGCAGTGGAGCCAAGATCATGTCATAGCACTCCAGTCTGTGGCAGCAGAGTGAGACTTCACACTCTCAAAAAAAAAAAAAAAAGGCCGGGCGCGGTGGCTCAAGTTCTGTAATCCCAGCACTTTGGGAGGCCGAGACGGGGGGGATCACGAGGTCAGGAGATCGAGACATCCTGGCTAACACGGGTGAAACCCGCTCTACTAAAAAATACAAAAACTAGCCGGGTGGGTGGTGGGCCGCCTGTCAGTACCAGCTACGACGGGAGGCTGAGGCAGGAGAATGGCGTAAACCGGAAGTGGAGCGTGCAGTGAGCTGCGATCCGGCCACTGCAGTCCAGCCTGGGGAAAAGAGCGAGACTCTGTCCTCAAAAAAAAAAAAGGGGGGGGGTGGAGATTTGCTGCATGCTATAATATGGACAAACCTCAAAATCAGGCTAAGTAAAAGACTCCAGACACAAAGGACCATATATTATTTTCACTATTATATGAACTGTCCAGAAAAGGCAAATCTGTACAGAGAAAGAAAGCACATCAGTGGTTTCCTATGGCTAGGGATAACATTAGGGTTTAAGTGCAAATGGGCACATGAGGATACTTTTGGGGGTGTTGGAAACGTTCTAACACTAGACTGTAGTAACGGTTGCACAATTCTGTAAATTTAATAAATGCTACACTTAAAATGGGTGGATTTTATATGGCATATAAATTAAATCTCAATAAATGTGTATTAAAAATATATAGAGAGAGGCAGCCAAGCAAATGTGTAATTGCCATTCAGTTGTATCAAACGCAGGCATAAACTGCTTTGAATTCATTCAAACAAGTGCAGCTATTTTTTTTGGAAAGCCGGTCAGAAGATGTCTTCATTGTGCTAGGTGTTAAAGGATGAGCTGGAGTTCAGCAGCACAAAGCCTTGCTCGTTTAATATTAATGGATGCCCCTGTAATGTTTAATTAGTTTTATGTTCTGCCCATCCCCAGAGAAGGCAACCATGTGATCTCTTTAGATCACCTACATGACAAGTAAAAAAACTCACAGCACATACATGACTACTCATTTTAAATACAAAAACAATGTCTTGTATTAATACTAAGTGTTAATAACTGTTAAGACCTTAGTGGTCTTACAACTTTGGAATAAACAAATCTGGGTTCAAGCCTTGCTTCTGTTATTTACTAAGTCTGTGATCTTGAGAAAATTCTATAACCACTTTATATCTGTTTCTACATCTGAAAAATATATGTAAGGTGCTTAGCTCAACTACCATATAGCAAGTGTTCAATACATGTTAGCTGTGTTTTAAGTCCTCATGAAAATCTAAGAGAAAGGGGGAATTTTTTAACGCTATCCCCAAAAATGTACAGAAGAGAGGCAAATGATGAAGAGCAGCATGAACACAGCAGTATGAACACAGCAGTATGAACATAATAACTGCACACAAATTTCCAACCCTGCATTTC